TTTTAGACTTATAAAAAAACAAAGTCTATACATAGGCCATTCAGAAATCTATAGTGTGGAGATGTGTACAACCAAACAGAAAAACATACATGTATGTGTATATTTAAAAGTAATAAGCTAATCTGATCTGAACTTAAATATCCAATTTTCAATCAAAAAAGTACATAACTGGATTGAAAGTGAATGGGTAGATTGAAAATGGTATTAAACATGCCCCCCATTTCTTAGCAACTATCTACTCTATATAACAATATACCAGTGTTGTATCAGATGATGCTTTCTTTCCAAACTATTCAGAAACACATCCATTCCACAATTATGTTAGACTGGGAAACATATTTTACTTTTAATTTTAAAGGGGGTACTTCTCTACTTCTGTATGTAAGATATGCTGTGCAATAAACATCATTGAGTGCAGGTGCCTGTTGCCTAGAACCCCGAAGACATGCTACTCTACAGTGAACTCACTGAGCCCTAGCAACTGCTGCTGCATACACACCATTCATGATGTGTCAGCTCTAGGAAAATTACCACGTTTGAAGACAGAGATATTTTCAAAACCACTGCTAGTTCTTCATAAAGCCAAAGTGTATCAGCTGAGACAGAGCATCAGGAACTGTGTGAGAAAGGTCAGCTCAGGCCCAAAAGGCTACACGAGAGAGATTACTGTTTTCAAATAACTACTGTGGCAAATTCTAAAGGGAAGAAAAAAGATCAGTGCAAGAGCATGTCAGAACAGACTCCAAATATGTTTTGCTATGTTAAGGAACTGATAAAGGACTGTGTGACCCTTGTTGACAAAATAACAAAGGCTGGCCATTTTTATGCTAAGTTCAAATGTATTTTTTTTTCAGAATACAAAAAGTAATCCTTGAAAATCAGAATACATAACAGAAAAGAGCACAATAACTTAAGTATTAAACATCTGTATGAAATAACTTGCAAAGTTTGACAAATATGCACACATAGAACATGCGGTTATTTAAAAAACAAAACAAACAAAAACACCACCCGATTCTGTAGAACCAGCATCATGTCACCAGCAGGAGAGCACCAAGCAAGGCACCATTGGAAAGACAACACACTTGGAAAGTCTCTATAAATAAAGCAAATGCTAATCTGGTCGAAAAATCGGTGTCTTTGGTAAAAATTCTATGAGGATGACCTGTAAAAAGAGAAGAAAAGGATTTTAAACAACTTAAGGCACATAGTTTTCTTAACCTTAAAACATCAGTCATATTCTGCTGCTTTTTTTTTTTT